TCAGTGTGTAAATGTGGTGTGAATAGGTGAATGTGACCTGAGCTGTAAAAAGTGTATTGAGCAGTCACAAGACTAGAAAAACGCTACACAAGTTCAAGTCCTTTTAACATTTTACACATGTCACTGATCATATGCCACCGTTTTGTAAAAAGGAAACTCATTCCCACAAATTTAATTGGCTTTTAGTTCAGATTATGTTGTCAAACTGAAGCTAATCAACTAATCAGATTGAAGAAGTTTATGAATTGAATGAATGAATGAATGTTTTTTTTATTTTGGTCATTCATTAAAGAATATCAAGAGTTAAAAATATTTATGTAAATAGTCAACTTACAGAAACAGAAACAAAAAACTTCACATGCTTAAACTTGTCTATTTCACACATTAAAATTCAAATAAATCAATGACCAAAACAGGAATAGGCTGAAGCCCAAGGTTTATTTCTGCCTATCCTGTAAAAATCCTTCATATAAGTCAGAACATAAACAATCCAACAAAAACAAAACAAAAACAAAAGCAGTATTTCTTAATTATTCATAATTTCACGTTGTAATCATGAATTAATTTGCATTTTAAGTTTTTTTTAAAACTCAACAGAGAACTAAACAATTTCAACTCATCACTAAGGCTGTTCCATAATTTGACTCCCCAAACTGAGGCGCATCTATGTATTTTATGTTGATTCTCACTTTGCATGTTACAAACATACATGACCGTCTTAAATTATAATTGCCTTCCCGTAATTTAAAAATTGTTTGAATAACAACAGGAAGACTTTTATTATTAGATGGATGAAGTATTGTTAATGTTTTGAAATACACGATATCTACAAATTTAAGGGTAGAAGACCTTATGAACAATGGATTAGTAGAATCATAGTAACCAGCTTTGTTTATGACTCTTACAGCTCCTTTCTTGTGTTTAATTATTATTAACTCTTAATAAAGATGAAAAGTAGGAAAAAAGAGAACAGTGAAAATGTAGAAGTCATAGGAAGTTAGAAATAAAAAATAGGCTAATGCAGTAAGTCTACCTGTCATGCAATAATTCTCACAATGTGATTATTCATTTAAAAGCCTGTAATTAATAATTTTATTCTTTGAATCATGTCAGTACAAACGTTGTTTTCATTCTGTGTAGCAAGGTGAGTTTTAGACTTTCACCCAAAATGCTTCTTAACAATCTGTGCCAATTACAAGTTCAGATGTCATAATTCTTGGCATGAAAAGAGTCTGAAAAAAAAGGAAAGTAAAAACATCCCTTGTTGTCCCCTTTGAATCCAACTCACATGGGACTGATGTAAGGAAAGACTGCAGTCACTTGAAATTGGTATTTCTATATTGTTAGAACAAAGCATCAACAAATATTTGTTTTAAAGAGCCCATATTATGCCCTTTTTGGGATTCGTATATTTAATCTATGTACCTACTTTTGTACGTTCACAATAGGTAAAGTCCAAAAAACATGTCTGTTTTCATGTACTGCTCCTCCTTGCTCCCTCTACACTCTGCTGAGCCCACACTGTTAGACCCCACGTGGGCCAAGTCTGCTCTGATTGGTCTGCCGATCCGCTCTGTCGTTATTGGTCAGTCGCTCAGCACAGTTCTCAGAAATGTCCCGCCTCTTTTAACATATTGGGAATGCAGCCACTGGCTCCGTCTGAGGGGAGCATAAACATTAGCAATTTAGCACTACTGTGCTACCGCAGGCTACGGCATATCGTGGGCGTGCTACAGAAGTTAACGGGCGTGCAACATGAGCTGCAGGGCTTGCCACAACGAGCCAATGTGCTTAGATCAGTGATCTCACACTGACAATGACGTCGGACTGACAAATTTTTATCAAGGGGGGCTAGAACCGAGCGTTACATGCAGCTAATGCTACAGCTAACAGGAGGACGCAGGAGATGACGCGTTTCCGTGGACTTTGCATTTTTGCACATAGATGTGCCTAAACAAATAAAACCAGAAAAAGCATAATATGGGACCTTTAAATAAAATTTACATGCAAGACAAAAAATCTCATTTTCCAGTTTCAGATGATTACACAGACTTCGCTTCCCGAGCTGATGCGATCATGGATTTTGGTAATATTTTTCTTCTCTATTTCTTTCTGACAAAAAGCACGAAGTCAACACATACCTCCATCAATTTGTGTGTCCTCCTAATTTGGCCCATGAAAAGTGAATGAATAGAAACTTCCTGTATCTGTATCGTAACACACAAAGGGAAAGGTTACAATTCATATGTGCAAGAATCAAATAACTAAATAGAAAAGGTCTATACAAATGTTGATGTAAAATATCATTAAAAGTATTTCATCTTTAATCACACACATTTTTTTTGTAAGAGACATTACTGTAGGGGGGAAAAAAATAAAAAAATGGATTGATTTCATATTTAATGAGTTACTATGAAGTGGCTTTACGTCAATTAAATTAGTTGTTCAAACTTTGCCCATACTCAGAAAAACTTACAGGGCAGAACACCGAGATGTTATGAAGAACACTCTAATGTCAGCTTCCCTTCACCAAACATCCTTTTTTCGACCAGACTCAAAAAATGAGATGTATAGAGTTACATGTGCAAATTGTTTTGCTGAGAAGGCTGTAAAAATTTGTGCATTTCAGTTTGAGAACTATAAAACAAAAGATCTTTACATTTTTTTTTCTAAATGGACCACTTTAAAAGCAGTTTGGAAAAACACCTGAAATCTTTTTAAGATTTGACATAAAATCCCATTTTACTTGCTTAAAGTGTAACTATTTTGTGTGAGCAGATTTTCCTGTTGAACTAGAAGAAGAAGAAATTCATGCTTCATATGGGCCACCAACTGCTACTATGGGAACAACTATAGGTACAGTGGAATATTAAATAGATGTCATTCATGTTCCTATTTAAATTGTGCTGTCATTGATTTAAAAAACAAAAACAAAGATCAATAACAAAAGAGGCTTTGATTATCAGTTCCAGTTCATCACAATTTTCAAACCTTTGTATTTTTAAACACTATCCTCGCAGCCTGTTGGGGCCCTGGCCACCCTGCCCTCCACTTGTATCCGCCCCTACTGTCCAGCCAAAGTTATCGTAGCCCATCCAGCTCATGGCGTCATCACTACATATTTGAAGTTGCCTGTTATTGCAACATGTTAGATGCAAACAATAGACCACTCAAACAACTACATTTACACTCTGCACAATTTTAGCCAGATGTTTCCAAACATCCTAACTTTGGTACATAATCTTATGTTCAGTTTACCATTACTGCCTGAGAATTACAAACCACGGCTCACAGAGTGCAACAGATAAACAAATACTTAAATCTCATACATTTTGTTTGCATTAGTGATCCAATTTACCTCAGATGCAACTTGAAAACTGCTGTTGATATGTGAGTGAAAGTGCGAAGTATCTTATGACAGAAACAGATTTTCCAGTGAACTCTTAACAAAGATGTTTAATAAAAGTTTTCAGTTAAGAATGTCTTTTCATCAGTGGCCAAAGATAGTTTTTAATCTTTTAATGGAGAAATTCTCAATGGAAAATTTGTCAAATTTATTTAAACCATTGCATGTATTTTTTTTAAAACCTTTTTTGTATTGTCAGAGTACGGGGAGCTAGTTTTGATGCTGTTTGATGTTTGTTTTCAGTGTTTCCTGTGGCTTTACTGTATGACTATGTTGCTCTCTTTATCTCGAGGTTCCTCAGTGTCCAGTGTTGTCTACAATGATTTACATCCTTCTATCTTACCTGGACAGCTTGTCCACCAGTTTTTGCTTAAAACTGAGAGCCTGTCTCTCCCACTTTGTTATGGTGTCTATGGAGTTGTCAGCCTTAAACTTCTTCACCATCCCAATAAAGGTCAGTCATTTTTCTCTTTGTGAAAATTGTTAGAAAGCCTCAAAAACAGTCTGGTTAATAAACCTTTGATATTTCAACCCTTTGTTTACAACCTTTGTAATAGCAGAATTTTCTTCTCTTGCCTCTCCTCAGTGTCCTTGCAGCAGTTATAAATTATGTGTACTTTCAGCATCTTCATACTTTTACTATATTAAACTTAATTGTCAGAAAAAGCAAATATAGGAATACTCAGTTTTGTTTTCTGATGGTCTTGTTTGCTTTTGTCATACAGAGGCATCAGTATTACTTTAAGTCCCCTCACAGGGGCGACGTTAGCCTAGTGGTTAGTGTACACGTCCCATCTGACTCTATCCAAGTCCAAAATATCTTTTCTTCCACCTCTGCTTGTTTTGATTATAATGTTGAGTTACATTGTTGTTCTCTTTTGCTTTAGCGCTGTTTGTGAATGGTGAGCTTGATGAAGTATTGCTTGGAGGATTCAAAAGGATTGCCATACATACAGCTGCTGCACACTTTGAGTTTGATGCCATGAAAACCATTGTACAAGATGGACAGTCCACAGTAGAGTACCTTCAACAGGATATAGTTGTTTCTCGTAATAGGTGACTTTGCATTATAATCTCAGTTATGATTACACCATGATCAAACAGACTTTTTGACCTGCATAGATGATAATACATAAGGGTTACTGCTTTGTCTGTGTGCACAGACAGGTTTTAAGATCAAATCAGAGCAACTCTTAAAGGAAAACTGTAACTTCATTGAGACGTTGCTGTGACTTGTAGAGGAGAGGATCAAAAGAGAAATAAATAGTACTTTGTTGAATTTGCACAATAGCGTGTTTAAATAAGAAATGTAGCCCCCCATGATGTCACCAATTGGTCTTAAAGGAAAACTTTAACTCTTATGAGCTACAAAATGAGCTCTGTCACTATTGAACAGTGCTCAGAATGATGTTTCCACCTGTTTCCAGTCTTTATGCCGCTGGCTGTAGCTTTACTAATAATTATAGTTTTAAAATGGTCATCACTAAGGTAGATTACACTTAATAACTGATGTTTACATTAACATTTCTGCACACACCATTAATTGGCCCAAACAAGAGCAGGGGCGCAAATCCACAAGAAATGTAAGATCTGTGCTTTCTTTTCTAGTGTGACAGTGATCAGGCGGGCCAAAGAAATAGATGTTGTAAGTGGAGACACACGTATTGTCTTCCTGATTCATGAGAAGGAAGGCAACTTTTATCTCTGGCCTGTTATAAGACAACAGCCAATGGACACCAACGTTACAGGGATTTTAGGTGGGTGGATTTGTTTGCATGATTTAATATCAGGTACATAAAATATTCAATCAATGTTTGCACTCACTCGCTGTTATTGAGGTTATAATTATTCACTAATATATTGTGCTATTTTTTGATTTTCCTTAGCTCTAAAGCCAGCAGTTTATGAAGAGGTACAGCAAACCCCCTCAACTATACTCAAGATCCAAAACACGGAGGTCATTGCTACCAGGTACGTTTTGTTCAATCAATCAATCAATCAATCAATATTTAAATCGATCAATCAATCAATTTTATTTCCATTGTTCCAATTTATAAATGTTATCTCAAGACACTTTAGAAAAAGAGGATGTCAAGTACATATTCTTTGTTATATTATTCAGAAAGCCCCAACATTAATCCAGCCCAGGACTTGGCAACATTAAGAAAAGTACCATTGTTCTGTGTTATTATGAACAAAACGATTTATTTGAGAGTGCTTTAATACACTAATATAAGATCTTTTATGTTTTTATTTGAAGATCCACAACTGCTGACTACAGTATCGCCTCTGCTCTGACACTGGACTGCTGGTCTGTGCCCTCTGAGTTTGCCTTACAGAGACCCATAAATGAGTTCATCGTTACACAAATTTAACTGGGAAAGGCATTTAATCTCTTACAAGGATTTCATTAAAAAAAACATGTTAGACCATGGAAAAATATTTTTCACCTTTTAGTGACAAAACTTGTCCCAGATTCTTAGTCGTCTGGAAAGACTTTAATGAATAAATATTTACCCAAAAGACTTGCCTACATTTGTCTGGTTATTGTGAGTTATGATTTATGGTGATATTTGTGTGTGTATTAATAGGCAGGCTGGCACATATAGTACGACACACTGTAATTTCTTTACCACAAGAAGTGTGAACTGTAGAGTGCTTGTAGATCAACCAGCAGTTAGAGTTACATAGTCAGCAGCACATCAAAGTATAACATATCTGATATGATGCAAAGGTGTCACCAAAGCTAATGATCCGAGTTTATATTTGAAACCCTACAGTCTTTAATAGCATAGCAACTACATCTGTAAAGAATTGTTGTACTTTAGACCTGTAGGGAAAAAAACAACAATCTTCTGTATAGCCATGTTACAGACAGAACGTATATTCAATTCAGTCTCTGAGAAACATAACAGTTTTCAGAAGAAACCCTGAGGATTCAAAAACATTTCTGAGAGATATGTCATTGTTCTAAAAGGCATGCATCCAAGGTGGAACGGCAGCAAAGATACAAGGCGGAGAGGAGCGTGCATGAGGAGTTTCAGGACAATTAGACTAATGGATTGTGCTATTGGGCTATTTCTTCCCTTCCTCCCTGCTTATGCTTAACCTTTGACTTAATGTTTATAGTAAATAGAAATTTCACTGAATAGATTCTTTGGTTGTTAAAAAACTATTTTTCAGGGGACCATGATGATTTTCTGCTTTCTTATAGTATACACTAATAAACAGGCTCAGATTTAGGAGCATCTATGTTTTTCTTTTTCTTTAATTCTCTTGCTGTCAAGAATGTAATTGCGATATCCCGCTCTTTTCTTCACCCCGACTTAAAGGGTGACATTTGAACTATTAGACAAATGTATAATTTGCTATAACTATACACTAGCACAAATAAACTAGCACAAATAAACTCACCCTTGACTACAAAACAATAGTCAAGGGTGAGTGAGCTGCATAGAGCATTTAAGAATGAGTGTTATCAATATCAGTTCTCTACTGTTGAATCTATCTCTCCCTCAGTAAAATTTGAGAGTTTGAGAGCTTTGGGTAGTTTCTTGGTGAGTTAGTAGAGATAAGCGGGAAGCTAGTGTTTTCCATTTTGAAGTCATGATGACACAATACACACGTCATTTATTTGTTAAAATGTTAAATATTAACCCATGAAACTTTATTTCATGGGTTAAAGATGTAATTCATTATTGATGTAAGAATGATAATCAATTTGATAAGAAATGCTGTACAGTTTAAAATATTTCATGTATTTAATCATTGTGTTGCAGTAATGATATTGAGTGTAGCTGTCGCAGAAAATTATATTTCTTTGAACAGGATTTGTTGTAATTACAGAGAAAATGTTTTATTTTGAAATGTGATCAGATTCTATGCTCTGTTACTGACACCTACTGGTCTAATTGTGTATTGCGCCGAGTGTTCAGCACGCGGTGTTCACATGTTTAATTGAAGCAATAAAACGTGCTGCCAGAAGCTAGTACCAACGGTAGGACACAGATGAAGGAGACGCGTCTGTGAAAAACATTAAAAGACTGCAAAGCCTAAACATTTCTGGTTAGAAGGCGCACATGGTATATAATTGTATTTTGTATTTGTAAAGGACATTTTGTTTAGCTTTTGTGTAGTCATCTGTGCTCATGAATGCTTGTGTCTTTATTTACTTCATTTTAGTTTTTCACTGTGTTTGCTGACAAAAGGAAAATAATAAATATTGGTCAAACATCAGTTGGAGCGTGGCCAAAGAAACTTTGGGAGCAGTTATATTGAGAATTTGAATTGAATCTCATTATGGTCATATAGAGTGAGAATTTGATAACTTGAGGAGCAATAGCCCTGTTTCTGTACAGGCTAGGTTTTTGAGGTATCCTGGAAAACATTCAACTTGACAAATTAGATGGCGAGCCGACCCTGCACTGTGAAGAGGAAACCATGATTTCTTAAATCCCATCACTTGTGCGTGTCAGTGTGGTAGGACTGTTAAAGCCCGACTGTTGGTACGTATTTTCATGGATTCATTCATCTTGATAATTTTGTGGACATATCTTTAAATTGTGTCAACCATCTTAGGGTAATTCTTCTTCTGGGTCTGTGAAGCTGTAACCTTATATGGTGAAACATGTAAATTGTAGCAGATCTATGTTTGGATAGGAGCCAACTATATGTTGTCAGCAACTGTTTGCTAGACAGAGAGTCTACATCTGATACGTATACAAATCAGTGTCATGTCATCTTTATTGTTTTATAGTGATGTACCCAAATGGGAAGGAATTTGTGGGCTGTACCTTCTAGCAGAATATAAGCCCCACTGTGTGATGAAGACTTTGCCACTTTGCCATTTTGCCCATGATGGCCACTTTGCCAATGATTGTCAATGATTGTCAGATCTTGGTCAGCATGGGTCAGCGATGGTCTGCACTTTGTCAGCCATGTGTGTTGTGTTTCTGTGTTGTCTGACCATGGCTGAATAAATCTAAGATGATCCACAGTCTGTTTCACGATTTCATCATTGTTCATCTCAAACAGAAATTACCCCCACCTAACAGTGGCGTTAACGAACAGTCGATAATGATCACTTCAGACCCAGGTAAGCAATTCAACTTTTTTGCTTGCCTGGAAGAAGTATTTCTTGTTAAAAGACCTGTTGGGGACTATTTCTGTATGAGTTGGAAAATTAAGTATTATTGGATTGGACATTTATAAGTACTGTAGTTGAATTAAATCACAGTGTTGTATTTCTGGACTTTATGAAATTTAAAATTGATAATTAATGTTATTGTTATGTTGTCTATGTTTTACATGGTATTGCTAACATGCTCATTAGAGGACTTTGTGCTGTGACAGAGTTTATCTTTGGGATTAGAATATCGATGTAATATTTGTGAAGATTTCTATGAGGAACATAGAATTAACTGTAGTTTGAACACTGGCAGAGCTGCAAAGGTTTGCGTGTTTTATAACCTCGGTGTTAAAGTTATGTATAAATCGGGACTAGCGCAGCTAATACTTAGCTGTAGGCTTGCAGAATAAAATGCGTAGAAACCCATTGTAAAATTGTATTAATTAATTAGAGAATGATAGCAGCTGATGATTTTTTTATGGAAAATAGATTTTTATGGAAAAAGTATCGATACAGAAATACATGGAAGAATATAAGGAATAACGAAAAGTAATTTATAGCAACTTGCTAACTGAATCAAAGGCGATTGCAGGCAGATCGTTTCAAGGACGTAGTGTTGGCTAAAAGAAAAAGAATAATGAAGAAAATGACTGTAATAGGCCTAAGATGTGTTGCTGGTCAACTGTCTTGTTTTGTTTTGTCTAAAAGTCTCGAGCAATTGTCACTTTGTTTTCTTACTGTCCAGAAAACTAAATTTATATGACTAAATTTTACAAATTGATAGAAAATTTTCAAAGAAAATGTATTAAAACAGACTTGTTTTATCTTATGATTTATACAAGGGTGCACTATATTCACTAATTTGTTGTGTGTGCATGGAACTAATGAAGTTATTGTTAAATGATAAAATGAATAAAAATAGGAAAATAATAAACTATTAAACAATAGGTAAAATAATTAACCATAAAAAAGTGATAACATAGGTACCACATTTCTAACTTTTAGCAGATTCATCTGTTAATAAAATTGCTCTAAGAGAGTAGATCTAGAGCAGATTAAGTTTTTTAATATAGAACTTTATTTGACTTGTTTAGCAGCATGGACTGATAATCACTATCCCATAGAAGGTAGCTTTGACAAACAGACATTGGACTAAGGTCCATGGTTTTAATAAATAACACTGCAGCATCTTTAGTGGGATAGAGACTACATGTTATCTGTGTTTAAAGCATGGGATTTAAATAGCCTTGTAACATAAACAAAAGATAAGACAGAAAAATTGGACCAGTAGATGAACTAACAGATAAACTAATTCTACAGTTTTGCCATAATGCATAACATGTCAGTAAACTAAGACATGTTAAACCCAAACGTAGCTGTTAATGCATGACAAGCTGATATTATACTCTGCAATGACTGACACAGAGTCAAAGGCAGATACCTTTAATCATAATTTTTCTCCTACAATGGTTTATCTTTTTACTCAGACAGTATTATAAATCAAAGCCTAGAGGATGGAATGTGTTATTGCATGGTGAGCAATGACAGAATTTTAAATCTTTAGAAAGATTACGACTTGTTTTAATTGCTCAAATATGCTAAGTATTTACTCTGCTTTGTTTCTGAGTGCTCTAAGCAGGTGGTAGATTCCATTCCACCAACCGAGACCACTGTGCATTCCTTCCAACCGGGTGACCACTTCCTAGTTTGCAACTCGAAACCAATAGAAACACATGTCATGTCATCTTTATTGTTTTATAGTGATGTACCCAAATGGGAAGGAATTTGTGGGCTGTACCTTCTAGCAGAATATAAGCCACACTGAGTGATGAAGACTTTGCCATTTTGCCATTTTGCCATTTTGCCACTTTGCCACTTTGCCATTTTGCCCATGATGGCCACTTTGCCAATGATTGTCAATGATTGTCAAGTCTTGGTCAGCATGGGTCAGCGATGGTCTGCAATTTGTCAGCCATGTGTGTTGTGTTTCTGTGTTGTCTGACCATGGCTGAATAAATCTAAGATGATCCACAGTCTGTTTCACGATTTCATCATTGTTCATCTACGACAGAAATAACCTCCACCTAACACCGACTGATGACCACCTGTCTTTTGGACCTTTCGAAATAAGAGCTCTTGAACTGAAAGACATTAACCTATCTGACTAAATCTTCTTTGACTTGACTTAAACATAAGAACATTCAAACTTTAAGGGAGCGGTTTGATGAGAGTGTGAGGACATAATATGCGCATCGTATCGGAACTGCAGCTGGTTTCATCTGTCATTGCACAGTTGACGAAGGAGCAGGTTGCAGCAGAATGGAAAGGCAAATCGTCTCTCTGGCTGACGAGACTCAAGCTTTGGTTGTCTGCATTGCAGCCCGAGGACCAAAGCTGCCTTCTGAAACTGGCCGAGGATCCCTCAGCCATGTTTGGTCCTTGTGCTAAGGCTATGTTACAACAGGTCCAAGAAGCGAGTCACTGTTCCCACAAGGTTTTTGGTGCACTGGTCAAGCTTTGCAGGTGGCGATGGACTGGACAGTCCAGCAGGCCCCCTGCCCCAATACAAGGGCCAAGCTGGGACTCTGGGACATGAGAGCTACCTTTGATGCTTGCTGTGGTAGAGGATGAGTTAAAGGCAAGCCATGTGAGGGGGCCCAGATCAAAGGACGGCCTAAGCCCCCGCCTCGCCCCTGACGCCAGTCCGGGTCCTGCCGCTGCCGGTCTGGTGCACGTCTCACAGCTTGGAGGACACTGGGTGTGAGCCCCTGGGTAATTTTCTACCATGACCCAGTGGTATCATGTTAAATTTGCCCGTCCTCCTCCGACCTCAAGGAACCCAACTGTCTTCACAGTGGTGGATCCAAAATTCAAGACTGTGCTCAAGGCTGAAATTTCCGCTCTGCTGGTGAAGGTCACCATCAGAGTAGTTCCACCAGGCAACAAGCAAGCTGGTTTTTATTCCCAATATTTTCTCATCCCAAAAAGGGATGGGAATCTCCGTCCCATTTTAGATCTAAGGGGGCTCAACAAATAACTCAGACGTTTGCCATGCAAGATGTTGACTGTCGCGAGGGTTAAACAATCCATCTGGAGAGGAGATTGGTTCGTCACGATGCCTATTTCCAGATTCACATCCCGGAAGGGCACTGGCGGTTCCTCAGTTTCATCTTCGTAAGAAAGACATACTAATTCCTCCCATACTGGATCTCTCTAGCTCCCCGCACCTTTACCAGTTGCACGGAAGCAGTTCTGTCGCCGCTGCGATTGAAAGGGATCAGGATTCTGAATTATTTGGATGACTGGCTCCTGTGTGCACGTTCAGAGAAGCAATGTCGGGCTCATTTGTCCTTGCTCCTGGATCACCTACAGCATCTAGGCCTGCATCTCAACTGGAATTAGAGCAGGCTGGAGCCACCACAAAGGACGCAGTTTCTGGGCCTCATAACGGATTACCAGACTGCACAACTTGATTGAGTCAGGAGAGACAGGTGGCCCTCAGGGGATGTCTCTCACATTTCAAACTGGGGGCAAGGGTCACATGGGGACTGTCTCTCCGCCTCCTGGGGCTTATGGCATCATAGGTCCAGGATTGGCCCTTTTGCATATGCGCCCAGTGCAGAGGTGTCTCCTGGGTCTAGGGTTGAGCCCCGGAAGCCATCTGCATAATGGTAAATGGGCTTGAGCTAGCGCTTTTCTAGTCTACTGAAAGCGCTTTTACACCACATTTCACACCTACTCATTCACACCCATTCACACACTGATGGCAGTGATTGCTATGTAGTGAGACCATCAAAAGTAACTAATCCCATTCATACACATTCATACGCCACCACCGAAGCAGCGGGAGCAATTGGACACATCGGACCTGTTGCTGCAGGAGCTGGGGAACGAACCATCGACCTTCCCGTTGAGAGATGACGACTCTACCAACTGAGCCACAGCCGCATACCACTGTGCTTGTCACCAGACGGATGCGGTTGGCCCTCCGTTGGTGGGAGAGCAGGGTGAATATTTGCAGGGGAAGCATACTGGGCGCAGTGACACATCACCAGCTACTGGAGACAGATGCTTCGCTGACAGGTTGTGGCAGTCACATCAACATGCTGGAGCTAAAGGCGGTCCACCTTTCCCTTCACCATTTCCTCCCACATCTTCAAGGTCAGCATGTGCTGGTGAGGACAGACGATGTGACCGCATCAGCCTACATCAACAGGCAGGGTGGCCTGTGTTCCCCACGCCTGTGCAAACTGGCACACCGGCTGTGGCTTTGGCCATATCCCAGTGTTAGAGGCATAAAGGATAACAGGTTAATATAAAAATATAATTTGCCCATTATTATAATTTTGTATTTATATGTTTATAATTAATAGAGTTTTTGCTTTTGAATTTTAGAATGAATTTTTTTTTTTATATTTATCACGTATTGAAACATTGTGTGTTTATAGTAGGTCTGTGCTCAGTTCACGTGTCCTGCTGCTGCAAAGTGTTTCTGCTGTCGTACAGCGCAGCTAATTGGCGTAAATTGCCATGTGGATACAGGTGAATAAATACTCGGACGAGAGGGCATTCTGCCGAGCAGGACGAGGAGCAACAGTTTTCTGACCGTCACGGTTTTAGTTTTTGGTCAAATCCGAAAGCTTTTCTTTTAGTAAACAAGTGATATTTATAAGAGCTTATTTTGTAAACTGCAATTCTTTTTTGAGTAGCCTACGAGTCAGAAACTTCTAGTCCTGCAAGAAGTGGCAAGAGGATTTTTGTTTGAGTTAAGTTGCCACTACACCCAGGTTTGGATCCCTGAGGGCAGTTCATGTACCAGGGGTGAACAATCTGAGAGCGGATCAGCTGTTCGGGGGGGGGGGGGTTCAGACCTAGGAGGTTGGAGGCTACACTCTCAGTTGGTTGCAGGTATATCTTTATGACATGTTACAGGGAACATCAGGTAGATCCTCTGGCATGCTCACCCTCGGAGATTCTGCAGTTTTTGCAGAAGCTCAGGGATGCGGTGAAGTCACCCTCCACCCTAAGGGGTATGGTAGCGGCTATCAAGGCAGCCCGTATAGGAGGATGCCAATTATCCGAGGAAGTTGGCAACCTTGTGTCCCAATTCCTCAAGGGGGCCAGAAGGCATATTGGCCATCAGTGTAGATCTTCTCTCTCGCCTTGGAGCTGGTTCTAAAGGCTGTGGAATGAACTCCGTTCGAGCCCCTGGATCCTGTTGACTTGAAGTGGTTATCCCTTAAGTCTGCCCTACTGCTGGCACTGGCCACCACCAGGCGGATTGGAGAGCTTCAGGCTTTCTCCATTCAAGCGGACCTCTGCAGGATCCCACCAGAGGGGTCAGGGGTGGTCCTGCAGCTGAATCCAGCATTTCTCCCCAAAAGTGTCAGCCTGACGTGGCTGTTCGGAGTGGAAACCTCTCAGACTGGCTGGCCTTGGTAGCGTCTCGTGCTTTGGAATCAGGTAGCAGTAACTTTTTTTTTGCTTGACACCATGGCATTGAATTCATTTATTTATTTCACTGAACTTGTTAATTTTGGTTAGTTATGTGTGTGATTCCCGGCAGTATGCAATGTGTTCACGTGGGTGGGAGTGTGTTTTTGTGGGTGGGTGTGTTTTTATCCTGTGTACCAGTGAGAGAGAGAAGAGAAGAGCTTGACCTGTAAAAATATTTACACATGCTGTCCTTGTCCGTCTGAGTTTAAAAGGCCATTTCAGCTGTCTTGCTTACACTCTTGTAAGCCCGATCATGGCAAGAGCTGTGGTGCAAGTCACCCTCTTTGGGCTGCTGCTGGCTTTGGTAACCACACTACCAAACAAGGTAAGATGCTTACATTACCTAGTGTAAAAGAGCTGCATAGAAACTATACAATCAATCCAACCAATGAATTTATACATTTCAGAGGCTTTGGTGTTCTTATTTTTCTGTATGTTACATCACACTAAACTTTGTCCTGATAAATGCCTGCAGGCTCAATAACTTGAGTGTTGCTTCATGTTTGTGTGTTTCTGACTTGGCATTTAGTAAGGTTTGGTAACTATGCTAAAAGGAATTGTTGAAAGTTGACATTTAAAAGTTCAGATAAGTTACAAAAATGTGTTTCTGTTGGTTTGTTTGTGTGTGTGTGTGTGTGAATATGTTTATACAGTCACATTATGGGGTCTAATCCCCCTTTTTAGAGACATAAAAATTCCCCCATGATGTTAATCATTAAGTAAGACCTAAGGGATAAAGGAAGTGTGCCATGTGAAATTACTGGATGGAAAAAAAGAACTGGGTGTTTCAGCATTTAAACCAATAACATTTTACCAATGCCGTCTGCCTTTGCTTAACATCATCATCTGATCTTTGGTTAGTTGGTCCTCGGCCAGAGAGATTAAACAAGCCAATTACTTGATTGTGAAATGGGCCTCCTGTATTTGCTCAGGATGACTGGGACATCTACAGCTTTCACATCAACTCAACAGTGAGCAGTCGTTACGCAACCACAGTCATCACAAGCCGTGTGGCCAATCGAATGGACGAGTCAAAGGAAATAGAATTTCAAGTCCGGATTCCCAAGAATGCCTTCATCAGTAAATTCAGAATGTGTGTACATAATGACTAATTCATTAACAATAAATGTAAACATTTAATCATGAAATAAATCATGGGTCATTATTAATATTTACACCAACATAAGCTTGTCCTCGGTCTTCAGGTTTATAGATGGCCAGGCATACGATGGGGTTGTGAAATCTAAGGAGGCGGCTAAACAGCAGTACACTGATGCTGTGTCACAAGGCCAGAGTGCTGGGATTGTCAGGTACATGGATCAATAGACTGAAACAGTATATTGCCAGGTCTTCTGCAAATGATTTCTAGATTATATACCCTATAAGATCTTGTGTGTCCTTTTGATTAAAGAGGAACAAAGTGAAAAATATTCTTGAAAGTATAAAAAAATGTTCTTTTTCTGACTTTTCTTAGATATGTATTTTTGATGTTAAAATCCTTCAAGTTAAACAATCTAAGAAGAATAATTGTAATTGCTTCCATGGGCTTTACTCCTGATGAAGGGTCAGATGTACGAACTGTTTTAATTTAAGGGACCCACTGCTTTAATGCCATGATAATCCTCTCTGTAAAAGTTCTGTAGGGAGGACTCTCGAAGAATTCAAGACCTCTGTGAATGTAGCAGCTCACAAAAAGGTCACTTTTGAACTTACATATGAGGAACTACTGAAACGCAAACTGGGCAAGTACGAGCTGCAAATCCACGCCCGACCAATGCAGCCTGTAAAAGACTTCAAGGTTTGAACATTCTGTTGGTATTTTATTCATGGATGAACCAGGAAAACAATACTTGAGTGATAACATCTCCATAACTATTTCATTTATTTCTCTAAATCAGGTTGACGTGTACATACATGAGAAAGCTGGAATCAATATCATGGAGGTTAAAGGTGGACTAAGCACCAATGCCATGGCTAATGCCATCACCAAAACACATTCAGACACACAGGTAGTAGTCTGATCTTTGTTCAACCCATTTCCCCCAATGGTTTTCTGAGGGTATTTGACATTTATTCTGGCCTATTTCTCAGCCTGTCAAGGGTGAATAAATCTGAATTTTGCTGTTACCAGGCGTGGGTGTATTTCTACCCAACTGAGGACCAACAAAAGACGTGTGACCGCTGTGGAGAGCAAGGTATGAATGGAGATCTGGTTATTGTTTATGACGTCAACAGGGACAACTCATTTGGAGACATCAAGGTACAGCAAGAGTCCTATATTTTTTTTTGAAGAATTTAGACTTTTAATGAAACTGTTCGCAGCATCTCATATGTATGGCAGTTTTGCCTTTGCCTTACCAACAATCTTTTCTAACCAGCCGGAATTTCATCTTACTCTTCCTTAGAAATCATCAGGGTACTTCGTTCATCACTTTGCTCCATCTGATCTCGCCCGAATACCAAAAAATGTGGCCTTCATTATTGATCAAAGTGGCTCAATGCATGGCAGAAAAATACAACAGGTACAGTTTATGAGAGTGTGATTTTGTGACAAATTACAAGAACTTTGAGGCATTTTTTAATTTTCAGCCTGTGGCAATTAATATACCGACTACAAATAAAAATCTTCTGAGATGAACAAAAGCTGTAATGTTTGAATGTTGTTTTTAACCAGACCCGAACTGCATTGATTCGTATCTTGAATGACCTGGCAGAAGAAGACCACTTTGGTCTGATCACTTTTGATAGCTCCATTTTTCACTGGAAACGAGAACTTGTTCAGGCTACGGAAGAAAACCTGGCTAGTGCCAAAACCTTTGCACTGCAGATTCAAGATAGAGGAGGTGAGGTTTTTTTTGTAGGGAAAATACTTTTTTATGAAACAGTCACATTTGACAGCAGAATGTTAGCGTTAAAGCATTTTTGTTGTCGTTCTATTTCAGCCACGGACATTAACCAAGCAGTTTTAGAAGGAGCACGAATGCTGAATGCAAATCCCAGAGAAGGCTCAGCATCTATTCTCATACTGCTCACAGATGGAGACCCAACCTCAGGTTATAATAAAAAAAAACATGCATGTCAGATATATGCATTGCATTAAGAGCGTTCTAAAAATACTATCTTACATTTTTAAGATGACAATCAATGGCTTGACATCTTCTTTCTGCTGGCTAAACTCCATACTTGTGTGACTTGTGTTTATTACAGTGTGATGTTCATAATAACAACTGCATTCTGTGATGACACCATTATGAGCTCATCACAGATTAGTGGTTTGATTTTACTGTCGAAGGGAAATTGAGTTCAGTTTTAATCGTCAAACTTCATATTGGTCTTCTGTCTGCAGGGGTGACAAATCTGGAAGTAATTCAGTCAAATGTAAGAAAGGCTATTGCAGGTGAATTCCCTCTCTACTGCCTCGGTTTTGGTTTTGATGTCAATTTTGAGTTCCTTGAAAAGATGTCACTGCAGAACAACGGTGTGGCTCGACGGATTTATGAAGACTCTGATGCTGAGTTACAACTCAAGGTCAATTAAATCCCTCACACTATAAATATTTGTTACATTTCAATGGAAAAACTGCTCTTACTCTGCTGTGGCAAAACTAGACATTAAACCAGAGTCCAAACTGTATGTCAACAGGGTTTCTATGAAGAGGTGGCAACTCCTTTGTTAACAGATGTGACAATGGTTTATGAGGGTGGGATTAATCTAACCCAGACTAACTTCAGCCAGTATTATAATGGCTCTGAGATTGTTGTGGCAGGTCAGATCACTGACAACGACATCGGAACCTTCACTCCACAAGTTGTGGCCGTTTCGGTAAGGACAAATCCACACTCACATGAGCTTTCAATTTCTTAGCACTATGTAAAATGTAAAAATAACTGACATCTGAATGTATTTGTTCAATAACAGAGAAATAGAAAGGTGGTGTTTCCTGGAACAAATGTTACAGTGGAGTCAGCCGATGTGGCTGACAGTAACATCCAGAGAGTTTGGGCCTACCTCACAGTGAAACAGCTTCTAGAGAAAGAGTGAGTGTGATGTCCAACATCTTTTATAAATATTATTTATCCATTTATTATTTTCAACAATTGTTTTTTGTATGGCTACAACCCCTCATAGTTTGATTTGATTAATTAAATGCAAACTCTGTTGTCTAGATATAATATAATGTAATGAAAAAATAAAGTACTGAAACAGGCCCATCATAATTTCCAATAGCCAAAAGTGGTGTGTCTGGATTGCTTTTTAACTTTTTTCCACTTGCTTTTGTCTGATCAACAGTCCCAAGAAGCAAGAAAACTTGCATTAAGAATCTTAGTCAGATAGTTGTTGTTTTTTTAATCAAAGTTATTATTGATTTAATTAATTAGCTGTCACTCATTTGACCATTACCTAAGACTTTAGACTTCATTGTCCTCAATGGGAAATTCTTTTGCACAGCACCGTTACTGTCCAAACAGACCAAACCAACAAAGTCCCACCAAAGAACATTCATACACAGAAAAACAGAGTATAACACAAACGGAGTTAGACAACAGTCAAAAGTTCCCACTCTGGCCTGTTCAGCGAGGCCTTTTGTTTAGGGCCGCTATAACTGCAGGCTTTCTGCACCTCATTGCTCTATACCTCCGTCCTGAGGGAAGTGGGGCGAGGTGAATGTTCAGTGGGTGTGTGATGTCCTGTTCTATTGAGGTTGCAATGCGTGTGATGGCCCTGTTATTGAGTTCTGTTAGGTTGGGTGTGGGGAGACCGATTATTCTGGCAGCTGTGGTTGTGATGCATGTGAGTTTGGCCTTGTTTTTTTACAGACAACATGTTGAAGAAGCAGGTTGAACAGTACAGTAAGATCGGCTGGATCATGCTCTGATATAGCAGCAGGAGGAGATGGGGGGCAACATAAAGTCCTTTCAGTTTGCGGATAGCTGACAGTCTTTGATGGCTCTTTTTTTGAATGTCACTGGTGTGCTGTTCAAAACTGAGTTGGTTGTCTAGTGTTACTCCGAGATATTTAAAACTGTTAACTATTTCCACTGCTTGGGTATTGATGAGAAGTGGATGCTGAGGTGAGGGGGGACTATTAATTATTTTGTCTTAGGGACATTGAGATGAAGATGGTTATTCTCAAATCACTGAGTGAAGTTTGTGGGCTGGTGCAGTCATTGGTGTAGAGTGTGTACAGGAATGGGCTTAATACACATCCTTGTAGTGCTCCGGTGTTGGTGGTTAGTGCAGGTGATGAGGTTGTGGCCACTCGCACAGCTTGAAGCCTGTCACTGATGAAGTTGTGAATGAGGTGGATCAGGCAGTGTTGAGCTGGTGTAGTTTCTGGATCATCAGATGCCTTTGGATGGTGTTAAAAACAATGATGAAGTCCATGAAGAGGATTCTGATAAAGTGACCTGGGTATGTGACCGACTGGTGATGTTACCCAGTCGGTCATGTTGAGGAAATTAGTAAGACTTGACTTCACACAAGAAATGATTCAGAAAGACTCATATGGCTTAAGTTGAAGAAAGTATATAAATACAAGATGACTACAGAGGAGAAATTGAGTAACAGAACACGTCTGATACTTGTCTATTAGCTCTGACTGACATCAGAGAACAATGAATTGACAAAATGATGTCTGTACATTTAAATCTAAATAGTTACAGAAATTCCACCACATGTCAAGCCTTTTGTTTTCACAGGACAGGTAAGAAGATTTACAATTCCAAAGTTTAAAGTGTAATTTTAAAAATAGGTCTTACACTTTAGCCATAGAAGCCAAACAAAAGTAGATATACACGGTTGACAACTTTAATTTGGTGGCAAATATCGTTACTGTCCCTTACAGAATTTACCAGACATGTAGTAGCCTGCAGGCTTATGGCTATTTCACACCTTGCAGGGCAACTGACTGTTCAGCGGCTTAAATGCAAGAGCTTTGCATACAAAAGCAAAACCTAGAAAAACTTTTTCACTGGATGTGGAAGTGGAATACAGTGTTTGTAAAATGTAAAAAAAAACAGGTATATGTTGGGTGTTCTGGGTGGTAAAACGATACTGGTGACTGGAAACCCCCAGCATCTTTCTTCTTCTTAATTTCAAACATACACAATTTGTGCCACAGACTGCGGTTATCTGGACCTGAGAAGGAGAGCGCTAAGAAAGAGGCCTTGGAGCTGTCGCTGAAATACAGCTTTGTGACCCCACTCACATCCATGGTGGTCACCAAGCCTCCTGGGGAGAGCTCAGATGTGCTCCATAAACCCAAGGAAGGTGAAGCACCTCAGATCCCAACCTCTAATGCGGGGCATTACGGACTCAGGGCTCGTTCAGGTGGTTTTTTCGCGGGTTATGGTGGTAAGTAACACAAATGTTAACAGAACAGCAAACACAGTGCAAAAACTGAAGAGTTCAACATTTGTTTTCAAATGTCTCTTAGCAGGGAAGTTTAAGCTGCGTAAAGGTAGGACAAAAGTGTGTGATTTGGCATCAGGCTGGGGAATTACACAGAATGAAAACAGTAAATTAATTGTATAAATATAATTTCAAATGTAAATGTGGATTTCAACAAAATAAATTATGTAACACAGTTAACTAATCAACAATTAATAAAAACTATTCATTAAATAATTTATTATTAATTCACAGTTTTCAATTAAATATTTGAAACAACTTCTTTTTAGCAAATAAACAAATCTAATGATAGGCTTTGCGATAAATCGCAAATGCAAATTTAAGCACTATTTACAATTGGTTATGTCTACCTTTATAATGTAATTGTACTCTATTCTTCTCTTAATTAAGTGTTCACTTAAATGCTTCCTTTATTCCCTGAAACTGTATCTAAAATCTGATTACCTTACCAACCTTCCTCTCCACATACACACACATGCTACCTGAGGAGGATTATTGTTAATGACATATTGAAAAGATCAAAAAGAACATGATGTTTATATGGGGTAGCTTTGGCTCAGCAGTAGAGTGAGTCATCTCTCAACAGGAAGGTCAGGGGGTCAATCCCCAGCTCCTGCAGTCAAATTTCAAAGTGTCCTTGGACAAGACACATAACTCCATTGTGCCCACTGTATGAATGAGATTAGTTAATACACCCTGAAGTCTCTGCCCTCAGTGTGTAAATGTGGTGTGAATAGGTGAATGTGACCTGAGCTGTAAAAAGTGTATTGAGCAGTCACAAGACTAGAAAAACGCTACACAAGTTCAAGTCCTTTTAACATTTTACACATGTCACTGATCATATGCCACCGTTTTGTAAAAAGGAAACTCATTCCTGCAAATTTTGTTGGTCTTTAGTTTCGATTATGTTGTCAAACTGAAGCTAATCAACTAATCCGATTAAAGTAGTTTATGAATTAACTTTTAATAAAGATGAACAAGGAAAAAAGAGAACAGTGAATATGTAGAAGTTATAGGAAGTTAGAAATAACCAACAAAAATAGGCTAATGCAATAAGTCTACCTGTTATGCATTAATTCTCACATTATTAACAATATGCAATTTATTGTGATTAATTAATGTAACAGCGCTTCTTGGATGAGGTTGATTATCCTATGTTGGCTTGCCATGAACTATAACACTAAACATACTTAATTAAATATATCGTCGGGTGTGGGTAAGTAAAAGCACAGGGACAACTTCTGCTGTGAGTCTCGCATACTTTAATGTCTGTCCGTAACAAAGCATGACATATCCAGACTGCACAACAACAACAGCGACACCTTACGTGTTTTAAAGCAATATCACTCCTCCAACCGTAACCATCGGTAACTTTAAAGGCAAAGTTCATCATATCAAACAGATACTCTTGCAAAGTACAAAATGTAAATATAAATGGAATTAGCATTAAATTAAATAATGTATATTATCTCAACCTGAGAAAATAAAGATCTTTAAAATAAAACTTCACAAAAATAAATCTCATCTCCATTTTACATTAATTTAAAAGCCTGTAATTCATCATTTTATTTTTTTAATCATGTCAGCACAAATGTTGTTTTCATTCTGTGTAGCAAGGCAAGTTTTAGACTTTCACCCAAAATGCTTCTAAACAATCTGTGCCAATTACAAGTTCAGGCGTTCAGTTACATGCAAGACAATAAATGTCCTTTTCCAGATGTAGTAGTCAGTGGTCACCAACCCTTTTAAGCCCAAGATCCCTGACCTCAGCTTTGGTGAAAGGCAAGATCTACCTATTGAGGAAAAAAAGGACAGCCCAGATTGTACTTCCAACTTGAGGCCTATTTGAATTACATGAAATGTGTTGGTCCAACTTTCAAACTGTTGCTACCAAGAAAACAGTAACACAAAATAAATGCATATGGCTCATTTTCCACTTGTATGAGGAAATTATTGTTTTCATAAAAGACAACAAAGAAAAAAAATCTCCACACTTGCAGTGAGCAGATCATATTAAGTACCATTGTAAACCATTTTGCTTTCAAATTACATGACATGCTTTAGTTCAAATTTGAGAATTTTAGCAACTACGGAAACACTAACAAAAAATAAAGGCTTGAGGCTTATTTTCCATTTGTATGAAGAAATTATTTTGTTCATAGTAGACAAAGAAAAAATCAACACACTTGCAGTGAACAGATCATATAGTGCCTTTGTTGTGAACGTTTTGCTTATCAATTGAAGCTTCATGCAAATTAATACATTTAGCCTACCATGTGCATTTTAGGAAGTAGAACTCTAACATGTGCTAACAAAATTCTTAGTCAGTGCAATTAAGATAAGTGCAGTTATGTGTCCCCTTCCATCCTCTGCATCACTTTTCACATCATCAGAAGGCAAAACTATTGCAGTCATGCTCCTCACTCAACTCAGTGGGATGGCTCTGAATTAATACTGTCTGTGAGTGCCTTGTTAGTTTGGCTCATAGCTACAGACAGCCAGTCTGAGACCGTCAGTGAGGTACCTCTGTGAAAACGTCATTTCACAGAGGTAAGTGGATCCAAAGGTCATAAATTCCTCTTCCCATTCTGGATGGAAATTGTACGTTTTCGCCTTCTTTCGAGGAGCCTCCACCATGCTAGCAAACTGTTATTAGTGTGTGCTGTGGCTCTATTGACATTTGCGACAGCACTCTTATCTCATTGGTCACTTAAATGCAGCACCTGCTACGCTGTAAAAATGCAACAGTTGATTCAAGAGAGAAAGAGAGACAAAATAACAAAAATAACATTAATCAGGCACGTTGTTGTCCAAATTTTGTATTTATTTTCAGGAGCTGCAGGGTTCGCGATCAACAAGTTGGCGAGCACTGTAGTAGACGATTTGGATGACAATCCTATATTTGCCAAGGGTGAGATGGATCTTGGTAATATTTTTCTTTTCTAATTTTTTTTTGTTTGAAATAATGTTACAAAACGTGCCTGATTAGATAAAAAGCACTAAGTCAACACATACCTCCACCAAGGCGGTGGAAAGAGTGTCCTCTTAATTTGTCCCATGAAAAGTGAATGAATAGAAACTTCCTGTATCTGTATCGTAACACACAAAGGGAAAGGTTACAATTCATATGTGCATGAATCAAAGAACTAAATAGAAAAGGTCTATAAAAATGTTGATGTAAAATATCATTATAAGTATTTCATCTTTAATCACACACATTTTTTGTAAGAGATTTCCCAGACAATACTGTAGGGAAAAAAAAAAAGAATTGGCTTTGATTTCATATTTAATGAGTTACTATGAAGTGACTTTACATCACATAAATTAGTTGATATAACTTTGCCCATACTCAAAGAAAAACTTACAGGGCAGAACACCGAGATGTTATGAAGAACACTCTAATGTCAGCTTCCCTTCACCAAACATCCTGTTTTTTTGACCAGACTCAAAAAATGAATTGTATACTGTAGATTTACATGTGCAAATTGTTTTGCTGACAAGGCTGTATAGAATTTATGCATTTCAGTTTGAGAACTATAAACCAAAAGATCCTTAATGTGTTGATTGAAAAAAATTCTAAATGGACCACTTTCAAAGCATTTTGGAAAAACACCTGAAATCTTTTTAAGAATTGTCATAAAAAATAATTTTACTTGCTTAAACTGTAACTACATTCATGTAAGCTGATTTTCTTGAAGAAGAATTTGATGCTATATATGAGCCACCCACTGCTACAATGGGAAACACTATAGGTTTAGGAGTATTTAATAGATATAATTCATGGTACTATTTACAGTATATAGTGCTGTAATTCATTAAAAAAAATAATGATCAATAACAAAAGAGGCTTTGATTATTAGTCCCAGTTAATCACAATTTTCAAACCTTTGTATTTTTAAACACTATCCTCGCAGCCTGCTGGGGCCCTGGCCACCCTGCCCTCCACTTGTATCCGCTCCTACTGTCCAGCCAAAGTTATCGTAGCCCATCACTACATATTTGAAGTTGCCTGTTATTGCAACATGTTAGATGCAAACAATAGACCACTCAAACAACTACATTTAAACTCTGCACAATTTTAGCCAGATGTTTCCAAACATCCTAACTTTGGTACATAATCTTATGTTCAGTTTACCATTACTGCCTGAGAATTACAAACCACGGCTCACAGAGTGCATCAGATAAACAAATACTTGAACAACAAACACCTAAATCTCACACATGTTGTTAGCATTGATGATCTATTTATGTGCAAAATATCTTGTGACAGAAACAGATTTCCTTAGTGAAATCTAAACAAAGATGTTTATTAAACGTTTTCAGTTAAGAATGTCTTTTCAGCAGTGGCCAAAGATAGTTTTTAATCTTTTAATGCAAAAACTCTTAATGGAAAATGTGTCACATTTATTTAAACAAATTAAGCACGGCATGCATTTTGTTTAAACCTTTTTTGGATTGCCAGAGTACGGGGAGCTAGTTTTGATGCTGTTTGATGTTTGTTTTCAGTACAAGTGTTTCCTGTGGCTTTACTGTATGACTATGTTGCTCTCTTTATCTCTAGGTTCCTCAGTGTTCCATAGTATCCAACGGGGTTACATGCCCCGCCAAACTGTCAGACCTACTCGCATTTCTCTTCCAATTTTTACACTTCCAGTTTTGCATTTCCACCAGTTTTTTCTTAAAACTGAGAGCCTGTCTCTCCCACTTTGTTATGGTGTCTATGGACTTGTCAGCCTTAAACTTCTTCACCATCCCAATAAAGGTCAGTAATGTTTCTCTTTGTGAAAATTGTTAGAAACCCTCAAAAACAGTCTGGTCAATAAACCCTTGATATTTCACCATTTGTTTCCAACATGTAACAGAATTTTCTTCTCTTGCTTCTCCTCAGTATCCTTGCAGCAGTTATAAATTAAGTGTACTTTCAGCGTCTTATTAATTGTACTTCATTACATGTCATAATGAAAATATTGTTCTATTTTATTCACTACATTTATGTGACATACAGTTACTACATTAAAGCATATAAGTGTAAAGAACAAAATGCATTGCTTAAGAAAACAGTGGAATACCAACCTTCAAGGCATATCATCATCATCATCATCAACCTTTATTTAAGTTCTCGGAGAGATCATTGAGGGCAACCCTCATTTACAATGATGCAGAGAAAACATATATAAATGATAAACAACGAGAAATTAGATGAAGCTACTACAGAAAATAAAATCAATAAAAGACAAATAAGAACAATAAAATATATACACTAATATAATTTAAAATCTTGAAATTACTACAGTGATAAGTCAGTAATTAAAATCAAATAAAACCGTTACAGTCAGATATTGGGCCGTTAAAAATAATATTTCTAAAGTGTCCATAAGGGGTTAAAGGGGCTCAAATTCCGGTCCTGTTTTAAAATGTTCCAGGAGTTTGCAGCACTAACACTAAAAGCAGTTTTCCCCAGGTCAGTCCTGGCATGAGGAACCTGGATAACCAGCCTCTCTCACGAGCGGGTTAAAAATGGACCAGGGTTCACATGTAACAAGGAGGTGATATATGATGGAAGCTTTCCAGTAAGGGCTTTATAGATAAAAAGATGCCAGTGATTATTGCGTCTCTCAGTGAGGGAGGGCCAACCAGTTTTATTATGAAGAATGCAGTGGTGAGTCATGTTGCTATCACCAGTAATGAATCTAAGCACAGAATGGTAAACAGCATTTAAATGCTTTAGCGTAGTGGAAGAGGCATGCCTATAGACCACATCACCATAATCCAAAACTGAGAGAAAAACTGCTTCAATTATCCTTTTCCAACTTTTTGTCGTAGTTTGACAGTAAGATTATCAATGTGAAGTTTGAATGTCATCTATCCATATACCGAGATATTTATAGTCTTTAACTCTCTCGATAATGGATCCTAGCAGGGTGGTTAATGTGAAGGTTATTATCAGTTTCACATTTAGCCCTAGAAAACAACATACATTTAGTTTTCTGAACATTTAAAACCAATTTAATATCGTTAAGTGCAACTTGGAGAACATTAAAGGAATGTTACACGTTCTCCAGGGCAAGCTGAGCAGAATTAACAATACAGTGCAATATTGTATCATCTGTATATAGTGATAGCATTAAGTGAGCATGTGAATGGTTGCTAGATAATAATGGAATAATTTTATTAATAAAAATTGTAAAAAGGGCTGGGCCTAGGATTAAACCTTGAGGAACACTCTTAGTGATTGGAAGAAACTCAGAGTGGATGGTTCCCAGGTTCACTGATTGTCGTCGGTCAGTGAGGTAGTTCAAAAACCACGCACACGCACTTGCACTAAAACCAATAAAACCAAGAATTTGCAGAAGCAATGAATGGTCAACAGTGTCAAATGCTTTGGAGAGGTCCTGAGTACTCTGAAAGAAGCCCAGTGGGACGCCTCTCCTGTACATCTAGCTAAGGACCAAGCTTTGTTTCTGATAGAAATACAGCTGACAGTTCATGGGAAAACCATGGACTAGATCTATTTTTTACCCTAACTTTTTTTTAAAGGTGCATGCTTATTTACCACAGAAAGGAACTTATTAGTAAAAAAGTCTAAGGCTAGTTCGGTATCTTGAAATTGAGATGTAAGATGGCTGTCGCTCTCAAATAGGTCATTCATTAAAGCAGGTTCATTAAATGTTTCATATTTCTTTTAACTAAAATATGTGAAGAAGTTCTCTTAAGATGCATATCCCTAATACAAGCAATAGGGCAATGATCACTAACCCTTAAGTCAAAGACACCACTTGCAGTAATTTTTTCACTTCTGTTTGAGAACAATAAATCAATCAAAGTCGAGTGGGTCTGGTGGGTTCATTAATTAATTGGGTTAAATTGAGACTGGATGATATTTCCTTAAGGTAATCAGAGTTTTTGGTCAACTAATCCAAGTTTAGATCACCCATAACTATGATTTCAGAGTTTGTATACTGAGAGCGTAATTCAGCTAGATAGTAAATAGACCTAGTTTCAGCTGATGGGGGTCTATAGTTCCCTATTATAACAAACAAATTATTTGACCCCTTATTTACCTTTAAAGCTATAAATTCAAAGCAATAAGGCACAGAAACTACATGTAAAACAGAAACAGAAAAAACATGATTTGACATAAACAGCATATATGTTTAAACATATTGTTAAAACAGAGGCCCTTGGTGTTTTTTTTTGGTTGAAAATTTTTAATTCACAAAAAGCAAATATAGAAATATTTAGTTTTGTTCGCTGATCGTCTTGTTTGCTTTTGTCATACAGAGGCATCAATATTAATTTTATTCCCCTCACAGAGGCGATGGTAGCTTGTGGGCCCCATCTGAGTCTATCCAAGTCCTATTTCTAAATAAAGGCAAAAAAAAAACCTTTAAAAAACCTCTTATCTTTTCTTCCACCTCTGCTTGTTTTGATTATAATGTTGAGTTACATTGTTGTTCTCTTTTGCTTTAGCGCTGTTTGTGAATGGTGAGCTTGATGAAGTATTGCTTGGAGGATTCAAAAGGATTGCCATACATACAGCTGCTGCACACTTTGAGTTTGATGCCGTGAAAACCATTGTACGAGATGGACAGTCCACAGTAGAGTACCTTCAACAGGATGAAGTTGTTTCTCGTAATAGGTGACTTTGTATTATAATCTCAGTTATGATTACACCATGATCAAACAGACTTTCTGACCTGCATAGATGATAATACATAAGGGTTACTGCTTTGTCTGTGTGCACAGACAGGTTTTAAGATCAAATCAGAGCAACTCTTAAAGGAAAACTGTAACTTCATTGAGATGTTGCTGTGACTTGTAGAGGAGAGGATCAAAAGAGAAATAAATAGTACTTTGTTGAATTTGCACAATAGCGTGTATAAATAAGAGATGTAGCCCCCCATGATGTCACCAATTGGTCCCACAGCTGGATGAAGACTCAAGTTCTGCATGTGATTGCCGCCATGTTGATTTTTGTGAGCCAGAATTGACTATATTTGAAGAATATGGTTGAGTTTCTGACTGCAGCTGGTTATTTATCAGACAAAAGAGGCTGATTTGAAATGATGCAGACTTGCTGTTTGCTTGCAGGAATCTCCAGGGAGAGAATGGAAACCTAACTTAAAAATTGCAGCTTAGGGGCATCCATAGCCTAGTGGTTATTTCACTGGCTTTGATAACTGTTGGAAATATTTGAGGTAATGTAAGTACTTAAGAAAAATACATATAACCTAGGTTTAGTCCATCATTTTATAAATTTAGATATTTTAATGTAAACATTGTAATACAATTCTACATATTGTACATTTATATGTATTTTATACATTTAAAGCTGAATGAAATAACACAGTGTTAACATTTAAATCAGCCCATGCATAGCTGTCATGAGTTCAAAAATTTGTTAAAGAGACCCAAACCGTTTTTTTTTTAACAGGCTGTAAACCAAGCAGCAACCTCTACTGTTGAAAGTCACAGTTGTGGTGCAAAAAAACCACAACAGTTCCTCAAATGTCCACTTAAGGCTGGCTCCAACATCCCATTTACCCTCTTGTTAAAATGCCCATTACTACAGAAATAAACACCTTTATTAACCGGTACAAAAAACAAAAATTGGTACTAACAGCTCATGTTTTTATTGGTACAAACGTAGGAGGTAAGGTTTTTATAAGTCACCCACTTTGATTTTTAAATGCTGAGAGTTATGCATACATTGCATAATTTGTAGCTGTTTACTTAGAAGTATAGGCAGCTCCCCCGATCTGTTACTTAGCTGATAGACAGTTTTGGCTTCATAACTCTGCTTCTGATACCAATTGGTGGCATCACTGAGAATATGTCCATTTTCTGTACTGTCTATGCTGAATACATGTTATACTTGTGTTTTTAGGCTTTTGCATTTCCCCATAGGTGTCATTTTTTCGACTCCAAAGTTTCCTGTTCGATTTAGGCCTACTTAAAGGTTTTAGTATAATTTAACTCGTATGAGCTACAAAATGAGCTATGTCACGATTGAACAGTGCTCAGAATGATGTTTCCACCTGAGTCTTTATGCTAAGCCAGTCTTACCAGCTGCTGGCTGTAGCTTTACTAATCACTATAGTTTCAAAATTGTGAGAACTGAGGTAAATTACACTTAATAACTGATGTTTACATTAACATTTCTGCACACACCATTAATAAGCCCACACAGTGGCAGGGGCACAAATCCACAAGAAATGTAAGATCTGTGCTTTCTTTTCTAGTGTGACAGTGATCAGGCGGGCCAAAGAAATAGATGTTGTAAGTGAAGACACACGTATTGTCTTCCTGATTCATGAGAAGGAAGGCAACTTTTATCTCTGGCCTGTTATAAGACAACAGCCAATGGACACCAACGTTACAGGGATTTTAGGTGGGTGGATTTGTTTGCATGATTTAATATCAGGTACATAAAATATTCAATCAATGTTTGCACTCACTCGCTGTTATTGAGGTTATAATTATTCACTAATATATTGTGCTATTTTTTGTTTTTCCTTAGCTCTAAAGCCAGCAGTTTATGAAGAGGTACAGCAAACCCCCTCAACTATACTCAAGATCCAAAACACGGAGGTCATTGCTACCAGGTACGTTTTGTTCAATCAATCAATCAATATTTAAATCAATCAATCAATCAATTTTATTTCCATTGTTCCAATTTATAAATGTTATCTCAAGACACTTTAGAAAAAGAGGATGTCAAGTACATATTCTTTGTTATATTATTCAGAAAGCCCCAACATTAATCCAGCCCAGGACTTGGCAACATTAAAGAGCCCATATTATGCCCTTTTTGGGGTTCTTATATTTAATCTATGTTCCTACTTTTGTACGTTCACAAAAGTCCGAAAAAAGTGTCTGTTTTCATGTACTGCTCCTCCTTGCTCCCTCTCTGCTCTGAGTACATCAGCTACGCTCTGCTGAGGCCCCACTGCAGAGCCCCACATGGGCCAAGTCTGCTCTGATTGACAAAATTGTCGCCGATCCGTCGCCGATCCGCCTGCGGTAGCACTACTGTGCTACCGCAGGCTACGGCATATCGTGGGCGTGCTACAGAAGTTAACGGGGGTGCAACATGAGCTGCAGGGCTTGCCACAACGAGCCAATGTGCTTAGATCAGTGATCTCACACTGACAATGACGTCGGACTGACAAATTTTTATCGAGGGGGGCTAGAACCGAGCGTTACATGCAGCTAATGCTACAGCTAACAGGAGGACGTAGGAGAAGCCGCGTTTCCGCGGACTTTGAATTTTTGCAAATAGATGTGCCTAAACATGCACAGGACACTTGGAAAACACACTAAAGAGCATATAAAACCAGAAAAAGCATAATATGGGACCTTTAAGAAAAGTACCATTGTTCTGTGTTATTATGAACAAAATGATTTATTTGAGAGTGCTTTAATACACTAATATAAGATCTTTTATGTTTTTATTTGAAGATCCACAACTGCTGACTACAGTATCACCTCTGCTCCGACACTGGACTGCTGGTCTGTGCCCTCTGAGTTTGCCTTACAGAGACCCATAAATGAGTTCATCGTTACACAAATTTAACTGGGAAAGGCATTTAATCTCTTACAAGGATTTCCTTAAAAAAACATGTTAGACCATGGAAAAATATTTTTCACCTTTTAGTGACAAAACTTGTCCCAGATTCTTAGTTGTCTGGAAAGACTTTAATGAATAAATATTTACCCAAAAGACTTGCCTACATTTGTCTGGTTATTGTGAGTTATGATTTATGGTGATATTTGTGTGTGTATTAATAGGCAGGCTGGCACATATAGTACGACACACTGTAATTTCTTTACTACAAGAAGTGTGAACTGTAGAGTGCTTGTAGATCAACCAGCAGTTAGAGTTACATAGTCAGCAGCACATCAAAGTATAACATATCTGATATGATGCAAAGCCCCAAAGCTAATGATCCGAGTTTATATTTGAAACCCTACAGTCTTTAATAGCATAGCAACTACATCTGTAAAGAATTGTTGTGCTTTAGACCTGTAGGGAAAAAAATGGCAACCTTCTGTATAGCCATGTTACAGACAGAAAGTATTCAATTCAGTCTCTGAGAAACATAACAAGATATGTTTTCAGAAGAAACCCTGCGGCTTCAAATATATTTAATTTCTGAGAGATATATCATGTTAAAGGAAGAATTTTTCGACAAAATTTACGCATAAATATAGCATAAATATATATAAGTTTATCAAGTATACTGTATATCCTACTGTATAATGGGGTGGCAGTAGCTCAGTCTGTAGGGACTTGGGTTGGGAATAGGTGGGTTCAAGTCCTGGAACTGACCAAGTCAGGAAAATGGTCTGGTAGCTGGAGAGTTGCCAGGGCACTTCCTGGGCACTGCCAAGCAAGGCACTGCTCAAGGGCACCAGGGTGAGTGTGTAGCAACAGGGTGTGTGTGTAGCAACAGGGTGTGTGTGTGTGTAGCATGTTCATTAAAGGTTCTATATGTAACTTTTTACATGTAGAAATCGTTTTTTTATCGCCCATTAATAAGCGAATGGTTAACTGATATGAAAAAGTAGATGTTCACTGTCTATCTGTGTTGCCTGTATAAAAAGTTTCACCGGCTCATATTTTCCATGAAAGCTCCAGGAAGTGACATTTTATGCATGGTGTCAACGTCCACCTCACTCCGCTCTGCTTACAGCGATCAACAGAACAAACTCATCACACACTCCTGGTCTTCACCTCCTCAGCCAGAGGTCGTCTTCCACACACTTCAATCCGCCCTAAGAGCTCTCAAAGGCGGACAAACTCATCCCACACTCCTGCTCTCAGCCAGTGCCTGCAGAGACTGTCGTTTGTAGGATGGAGAATGAATACAGACACACAGACTCCTTCACAGACTTTCACATGTGTATGACCTCTGTAAACATTATGCCGGTAAATATCCAGTGTTTCGCGGCCGATGATGATGCTCGTTTGTGTACGCACGAGCAACAGGTTATTGGTGCAGTTCGCCTAACGGCCATGCGGTATCTCTACAAACGCAGTATTTTTGAAAGTTACATATAGCCTCTTTAAACAGAGCTTAAAACCGAATTTTCCTTCACTGGATTAATAAAGTATAAATTGTTATCAATTATTTTTATGTAAATGTCTCTCTGAGTCATGACTATATATAATGAGTGAGAAGCACGAGTCCCACTGGTTGTGTTGTTGTTGTTGGAGCTGTGTTAACATCATGACAGCCAACTTCTCTCCTCATGTAAAAAGCTGTTTTAGTCAAGGACTAGAGAAAATAACTATTACATAATTATTTTTTGAATGTCATATAAGAATTTTAAGATCAAGGTCATTCCATGTATGTTTACATGCAACGCGAAGCTACAAGCTAATCAAAGTGAGCTAACATTATCCTGCTAACACACCAATGCAGGCCACAGACAATTGCAGCTCGAGCAAAGGACAATTTTGTCCGCCACTTGCGCTTAATGGTGCCTAATTATGGTGCCTTCCATTTGATAACTCCTTTTTGTGAATGTAAGGGGAGAGGGGTTGGAGGTGTGTTGCTGGAGGACTGGAGGCCTCAGTATGGCGGAGGTGTCGCCAAACAGCAGCTTGTTTTGGTTTCATGCTGGTGCTCAAGGTCGACATCTACTGGTTTTAAAAGTTGCATATTCTTCCTTTAAGATACAAATGAACTTTATCAATCCAGAATCACAAAGGACAGTAACCCCTCTCCCAGTTAGGTGACACTCCCACAGCAGTGGTGGTTCTAGACCACTTTTACTAAGGGGGCCAAACTGGGGCCAGTTGTTTTGTCAGAGGGGAACATAAAAAAAAAAAATAGAAAACATTAAGAAAAATAGACAAAGATAATCGCTTTTATATATATATATATATATATTATGCCAAATACCATGATTTATGTTTGTTTCAGTAACAGAATTAAATACTAGATTGTGAGTCAAATACCAGTGTGTTATTATGGGGACTCTTCCTTTTGGAGGGGTGGCCACAGAGGGGACCAAGCTCAGTTTTGCAGGGGCACTGGCCCCTGTTGGCCCCTGCCTAGAACCGCCCATGTCCCACAGCTAGGTGTTTGTTCTGTCTTCTGATTCTGCCTTCTCAACGTAAACAATAGGGCATGGTGCAAGAAAGCCAGAGCCACCCAAGCCCTTCCAGAGGGGTGTGGTCGAACACAGTTCATTGTCATAGACACAGAAACAGTTCTATGCAGGGCTGCAATAAAGGGGTTCATAGGCATGCTAAAATACAGGATCGGAGTGGATTTTTACCAAGAAACTTCACAGATATGTTTTGGGGAGCTCCAAGACTTATTTCAACTTGTTGAAACGGAGGATGATATGTGACCTTTCAAACTTGAGTCTGATGTGTTTCCACAAAGGATGCAACAGAGCTGGTTAGCTTTAAGATAAATAAATCAAATCTTAACTACAGCAATCGTCACTTAAATTTTGTTCAGTGAAATAATTCAGGGTTAAACTCTGCAGTGTGAAGTTATACAATGAGAGTTCACACTGAGCTTAAGTTAATATACTATCCATCTTTACTGGAGCCATGCAGCTTGCCCACATCGATTTACAATGTACACAACAGGTGGATGTTTATTTTACTCTGGTCTGAACACACAACGATAGAGTGGTAGACAAGGTTTGTGCTTGGTTCAATATTATGTGGTCCAACCAGTTGAGCTGCTGCGTGATCCATGTGTCATCGTGTTAAGAGGGGTTGTCTTTCAATGGATTGCATCATGAATGCGGTTCAAAGGTATGCATGGCTCCTTACGAGAGAAACTTGTTTGTCAGCACACAGTTTCCTAAGAACTGCGAAAGTATAATTTTTTTAAAAGCACATAACACGGAAAAGATATGCTACACATTTTCCCCTTCAACTTATCAGCTGTGACTTGTTTATTGTACCTTAAACTCAGCTCTGTGTATAAAGCTACTTAAATCCAGCAGTCAAGGTGGAGTCTCGAACTGATTTAAAGCACTTATGGACTATGACCCCAACTTGTTATGCTGGGATAAAGAATTTAGAGCAGGAAGGGTTCACTTCAAAAGTGTGATTAGAGTGTAACATACGGACAAACAGAGAGAGAGAGAGAGAGAGAGAGAGAGAGAGAGAGAGGGAGGGACTGTTGCTTCAATTTTCCCACAAGGCAAACAGTTCTTAGTAACTCTAACAAGGTGTGCAGCTTAACAGTCTGTCTGGAGAAAAACACACCACAGAGAGACTTAGACTGGACAACCAGACACAGTAAGTAACCGACATGATGTTGCTTTGGTGTATTCTTACATGACTCATGTTGCTATGTGTTATTATGATTTCATGTCCTCTTTTTCTGTACCACCATTCCATTATTCCTGAAGGTGTTTTAATAAAACAACAATTTGGCTCCTTCTTATAAAATAACAGGCAATCCAACAGGAAGCTTTATAAAACTGTGGTGTTTCCAGATGAAAAACAACTCTATTTACTGATCTTTTCTTCCTCAGGCAATAACTTAAGGTGAAACCTTCAGAAACACTCTGACAGTTTATCTCGAGTCTCTGCCTTCGGTGCTGCTGAGCTGTTTCTGCCAGGATTTCATCAAGTTAATCTCCAACCCAAAGTCATAATGGAGAGGAGAAGACTGGACTTACTCAACAAAGTCTTCATGAAAGCTATTTGGAGGGAACTCTTGTAATGCTTAGTGTCCACACACAAAATGATTATTCCTGGATGGTCCATTTGGTGCCTTTTACTGACTCTACACATGTCAGCCTGTAACTTGGAAGCTTCTGGATTCAATAGCCATGAAGTCATCTGCTCTCAGGTACTGAAGGCTTCACTGCCTGGATATACTGAAGCAGCATTTTCCTCTGCTGCAATACAGTACATACATTATGTTGACGGATTACACTTTTAATTTCCTTTTTAGTGCTTGCTCTAACATTTTAATTTACCTTATGACCGATAAGGTGTTTTATTATCAAATATTTATTCAAAGCAAACAATCAGGCATCTTCTCACAATACAGATCTCTGTTGCATGTAGAATTATCACAGTGTCGGCAAATATTTACCCTTGCAATGCATATAGTACTAACATCCAAATGGCTAACAAGTGAATCTTGTTCTTCTATTTCCAACTTTGTCTCCTATAGGGTCTCTCCAATTGCACCATGAAGGATGAGATGCCTCTTTCTATGAAGGAAAATACTTCTGTAAATGTCCAAAACCTGACACCATATTTCAAGCTCTGCTGCAAAGACGGGTCCTCATGTTGGTTATGTCTGGTGATCGACATGGAGATAAACACCCACGCAGAAAAGGACATGGAGGATAAAGGCCACTCTGGGAGGGATGAGGAGGACTATAACGAGGAACTGAGCAATTCTAAAGGTACAAACTAAGAACACATGCAGCACAATGTTGAGTTGCTACTTTTTATCTAAAGACAAAATACGTTATTTTGTATGTTGAAACCAGATCTAAATATTAGCATTACTGTAGCTACAGTGCATACCACCATTAAAACAGACAGAGCAGTCCCTTTTTTCTCTGTGCTCATCTTGTCTTTTTTTTGTCCCAAAGAATCTCCCCTCAATTTATCTTAACAGCAAAATGTATCTCTTGTTGAAAATGTAACAAAGGTCAGTTAAGTAATTTATCAACCCTTCCCACACACAGAGATTTTTTGTTTTTGAAATGAGCAAACATGACAG